GAACCTGGCTGAGGGCGGGTCTCCTTTGACATAGACTCCAGGGGTTAGAGATCCAATGACTGTAGCCACCAAGAGGAACAGAGTTCCCGCCCTTCGCTTGTGAAATCACCAGAGGTTTTGAAGATTCTAGGAAGGGAAGAGTGATAATGACCTTATGACCATAATGACATGATGAGTGATAACGACATTATGACATTTCTCCCTAATGACATAAACACATAAGTATAATGACATGTTTTTCCAGGGCACATCCACATACATACCCTCGAATAAATCCCCATTGCCCTCTTGACTGGCTTATCTGTAAACACAAGGACACATGAAATCCTGTGGTGAGCGGTGGTGGAAGAGGCATTTCATGCTTATTAAGACAGAAGCACAACCACCTGTTTGTTTCCCCAGACAACGCTGGGGCAGATGCAGTTCATCTGAGACAGTGGAAGCGGGGAGGCATCCAAATGCTTGGCTTTTAGGCCCAGCTCTCTCAGTCACGGTAAAACCTTGGGCAAGCCACTTCCGAACCTCAGTCTCCTCATCTGTAAAATGGAAACACTGTTGGTGAAGACCAAAAGAGGTGAAAGGTGAAGATGCGTCCTACATTGTAACATGTTATACAAGTGTTAATTACTTATTAGTGGTCTTAAGCCAGACCATTAACTTCCTTTTTTTTTTTTTTTTTTTGGAGACAGAGTCTTGATCTGTTGCCCTGGCTGGAGTGCAGTGGTTCAATCTCGGCTCACTGCAACCTCTGCCTCCCAAGTTCAAGCGATTCTCCTGCCTCAGCCTCCAAAGTAGCTGGGATTATAGGCGAGTGCCACTACACCTGGCTAATTTTTGTATTTTAGTAGAGATGGAGTTTCACCATGTTGGTCAGGCTAGTCTCAAACTCCTGACTTCAAGTGATCCTCCCACCTTGGCCTCCCTAAGTGCTGGGATTAGAGGGTGAGCCACTGCGCCTGACTGATGCTTAACTTCCCTAGGGTTCAATCAGAAGTGAAGAATTATGGTAAACTCATCCTGGCCACTCATAGCTGTGGTAACAGTAATGCAGGGGATGGTGGCTGTGTCGTTGGGGGCCACTATGAAAGCCCTCCCTTCACCACACCAGTGTATTTTTCCCAAGGAGGCGGCTCTAACTGCCAGGAGACTCACTTTCTTGTTGCAGATAAGTGACAGAAAGCCATAGAGTTAGCTCAAAAAAAAAAAAGGGAAATTGTTATAAGAATCTAAAAGTTTCAAAACAAGGGCCGAGATATAGCCAGGCATCAGGAACAGGCTAGAATCAGGGACTGGAAGCCTGTAAGAAACTCAGGAAACCCTCTCTTGGAATTTCTTTTCTTTGTGAGTCTACTACATTCTCCACATAAAACAAAACGTCAGTCATTGCCAAAAGCTTCCCAGATTTACATCCTCTGAAACTGGAGTCTCTTAGACCCCACCTCAGGATCCCAGGGGAGGGAGCTCATTGGCTTAGCTTGAATCAGGTGTTCACTGCTGAACCAATCAACCGTGAGGACACAGCATAGACAAATGTGGCTGTTCCCATGTTGCAATGGAGGGAAGACAGTAACAGGGGAAACCCAGTAGGAGTCCACCACTTCCTCTCTCTCAGGAGTCCTTGCATCCCCAATGCCTTCTCTCTGATCTCATTCAGCCAACGGGACTCTTCCTGATGTCCTGCAGCAGTGCCGGGTGCTGGTTGTGGACTGTGCCAATTGCTCCAGCTCTGGCTGGTGGGGCAGGACCATGAAAACCAGTATGATCTGTGCTGAGGGTGATGGCGTGACCTCCAGCTACAACGTGAGTACCAAAATCAGGGGCCCCGCTCCACGACAAAATGTGGCTGGGGATAACGCTATCAAAGTCCATCCCTCCATAGGTCCATCCTCCCACCTCCTGACAGAAGTACCCAGAAATATGTTCCAGATATACCAGAACCCGATCTTTGGGCAGGCACGGTGGCTCTTGCCTGTACCCTATCACTTTGGGAGGCCAAGGCGGCCAGACCACTTGAGGTCAGCAGTTCGAGACCAGACTGGCCAACATGGTGAACCCTTGTCTCTACTACAAATACAAAAATTAGCTGGGCGTGGTGGCGGGCACCTGTAGTCACAGCTACTTAGGAGGCTGAGGCAGGAGAATCACTTGAACCCATGAGGCAGAGGTTGCAGTGAACTAAGGTCACACCACTGCAATCCAGTCTGGGTGACAGAGCGAAACTCAAAAAACAAAAAACAAAAAAAAAAACTTGATCTTGGTTCTTGTTTGTTCTTGTTTTGAGACTCTCCTTGTCATGTCCACTCCTCTCACTGCTGGGAAGTCCTTCCCTGGGTCTCATCAAGTTCTCTTGTGACTGTCATTTCATAACATTTCCTCTATGCTGGAAGGGAGCCAGAGGAAAGTATTCCCTGGCTTAGGGCCTTTCTAGGATGACTTCTGGGTTTTCTGTTGAATTACTCTCATCAGCGGCCCAGCGTGACCCCTCCAGGTAGCTGCCACAGAAGCCTACCCGGAAACAGTGTCCTAACCACCAGGAATTGCTCTGTGTTGGACTTAGCAGTGAAGTGGGGATGGAATAGGAAGGAGTTCCACATGCCCTTCAGATCACACTGTGCCCTACACACTCTGCCCACACAGACCACCCCACCCCCAGGAAGACAGAGCCAGTGGGGAAGAGCCTGAACTCTGGGATGTGGCCTCAGCTCCTTTACAAACTGCCTGTGCAACCTTGGGCAAGTCCCAACCTCTCAACACTCCAGTTTCTCCTCTCCAGTGGTCTGGGGAGACTGTGAATATTTACCTCCTAGGATTTTGTGGGGATTAATGAGATAAGGAATAGAACATGCTTAGCTCAGCTCTGGCTACACAGGAAGAATTGGTGTTGGCTCTTGTTGGAATTATGGTACCATCTTGGGCTATGACCACAAGGGCTGGCTTCAGAGGACAGTGACCTGCAGCAGAACAATAGAAATGCATTGAGAACAATGGTTCCAATGGGCAGCCCCTTCCTCACCCTTTACCCTTCTGTAACTCTGGCCTTCCTCAGGGAGACTCTGGCGGGCCGCTGAACTGTCAGGCAGCTGACGGCCGGTGGGAGGTGCATGGCGTCAGCAGCTTCACCTACAACTACTGCCACAAGCTCTCCGTCTTCACACGGGTCTCCAGTTACATCGACTGGATCAATTCGGTAAGAACCAGACCAGCCCTGACCCCCAGGGCAGTTCCCTGCTCACCTGGCCTCAGGAGTGCCATGCCCACCTGGCGACTGAGAACCCCCTCCTTCCTCTTGAGAGTTAGATGGGACCGCTTCGAGGAGGCTGCAGACCTTGGCAACTGCTGGGCCCCCCCCATGGGACCCCAAAGTTTCTGTGTGGGTAAAGCTGAGTAAAAAGCAACATAGAGGGTGGCCTTGTCCAAAGAGATTGGATACTCCTCAGGCATATTAAGAGTGAGTTCCACCGGACACGGTGGCTCAGGCCTGTAATCCCAGCATTTCAGGAGGCTGAGGCAGGCAGATCCCGAAGTCAGAAGGTCCAGACCAGCCTGACCAACCAACCCATCTCTACTAAAAAAATACAAAAAAATTAGCCAGCTGTGGTAGCGCACTCCTGTAAACCTAGCTACTCAGAAGGCTGGGGCAGGAGACTCCCTTGAACCTGGGAGATGGAGGTTGCAGTGAGCCGAAATTGCACCATTGCACTCCAGCCTGAACAAAAGAGTGAGTTCCATAGAAATGGTGATTTTATTTTTGTGTATCTGTGTGTGGCCCAGACTCCACCATCCAGTGCTAGAACAGGTATATTTGTCTGCAAAGCCCAAAACCTGATTCTTTGAGACCCCCATAGCATTAATTATTGGAAATTAGTCCCCTTCGGGGTCTTCCAGCTATTCTGCAGGGTGACCAACCATCCCGGTTTGTGCAGCACTGAGAGGTTTTCCAGGATGCAGGACTTTCTGTTTTACTCTGGGACCATCCCAGGCAAATAAAGCCGAGTTGATCCCCCTGTCTTATCAATGTAAACTCAGAGAGCTGTCTCCTTTCAGCTTCCACAATAACTCAATTTTCTTTTCACAATGAACACACATTTGTTTATAACAATAAGCATTAACATTATTTATTAAAAATAATAGGCCAGGTGCCATGGCTCATGCCTGTAATCGCAGCACTTTGGGGGGCCAAGGAGGGAGGATTGCTTGAGCCCAGGAGTTCAAGACCAGCCTGGGCAACATAGCGAGACTCTGTCTACAAAAAAAATTATTTAATTACTTAGGCATGGTGGTGCATGCTGGTAGTCTCAGCTACTTGGGAGGCTTGGGTGAAAGGATCACTTAGGCCTGCGAGGCCAACATTACATTGAGCCAAGGTCACACCAATGCATTTCAGCCTGGGTGACATAGCAAGACCCTATCTCCGAAAATAATAATAATAACTGGCATAAATATTAAGGAGCAGCCGTGGATACACGCAGCAGTAGGTGAAAGCAGCTAGAACAGGAAACCCCGTCACAAGAAAGGGGTGGCTGGTGGCTCACGCCTGTAATCCCTTTGGGGGGGATTACAGCACTTTGGGAGGCCGAGATGGGCAGATCACCAGAGGTCAGGAGTTCGAGACCAGCCTGGCCAACATGGGGAAACCCCATCTCTACTAAAAATGTAAAACTAAGCTGGGTGTGGTGATACATGCTTGTAATCCCAGCTACTCAGGAGGCTGAGGCAGGGGAATCACTTGAACCTGGGAGGTGGAGGTTGCAGTAACCCAAGTTCACACCACTGCACTCCAGCCTGGGCAACAGAGCAAGACTCCATCTCAAAAAAAGAAAAACCACAAAAAAAAGAATCGAGTGCCCGGGAGGGGGCAGAGGAGCCACCATGCCTGGTACTGGATGCTGGGAGGGAAGAGTCGGACACTCTGTGCCGATGAAAGACCACCTCAGTTTGGTCTTCTGTAAAATGGGACATGAACTAGACAAGAACCCCTCCACTATTTACGCGCTACAGCAAATGGGAGTTATGGTATTTGTGGCAGAGCACCTGGTCCTGGCAGCACCTTGGGAACCTGAAGCAGGGGCAGGGGCAATTGTCCCAATATTTTTGTCCCAGCGTCAGGTGTTCCCAGCCACAGACACAAGCACAACAGAACAGGCCAGATCCCGAAGCATGGCCAGATGGCAGCAGGGATCCACAGGGCACCACGCCTCGTGAGGCAACTGGGCAGAGGCCCTGTGTTCATGGGAGAGCAGTCGGGACAGGCACAGATGCCCAGTAATGGGTTTCATAAATGGGAGAGACAAGCAACCCGGTGTCCTTGGGTGGGGGTTGCCCCTGGCAGTGGCGGAGGGGCTCGTGAAATCTTGCAGTGGCCCCAACCCAGGGACACACTGTGTGCAGGCTGGGGTCACGTACCACTAGAGCCCTGGGGGTGCCTGAGAGCACCTGCCTGGATAAACCCAGACAAGTGACAAGCCAAGAACAGGAAGTACAAGCAAAAGAGCAGAGAAGCAGAGGAGACAAGTGGCCTGGGGCATTCATCCTTTCAACAAATGTCCATTGAATGACAGTCACACGTGAAACTTCAGCAATCCTTAGCTTTTATTCTTTTTCCAGAAGGTAATACATACTCTGTGTAAAAATATTAACACAATATGAGAGTGTATCAAGTAAAATGTATCAAGATGTCTCCCCTCATTTTACATCTCCAATTCCGCTCTCCAGAGTTAATCATTGTTTTTGTTTTTGTTTTTATTTTTGTTTTTGTTTTCAAGCGGAGTCTTGCTCTGTTGCCCAGGCTGGAGTACAGTGGCTTGATAGCTCACTGCAACCTCCGCCTCCCAGGTTCAAGCAATTCTCCTGCCTCAGCCTCCTAACTAGCTGGGATTACAGGCATGCACCGACATGCCCAGGTAATTTTTGTATTTTTAGTAGAGATGGGGTTTCACCATGTTGGCCAGGCTGGTCTCAAACTCCTGACCTCAGGTGATCTGCCCATCTCGGCCTCCCAATGTGCTGGGATTACAAGCGTGAGCCACCGCGCCCCGCCAATGATTGTTAAAAGCTTGGTGTGTGGTCTTCTCAACTTTATGTACATATGTATCTATATATATAAAGAGAGAGACACTGTCTTCTAAGCAAAAATAGGATCTGAGTCTTCATACTATTCTGCAGCTGTTTTTCACTTAACACCTTATCACATTTTATATGTCAGTACGTACATGTCATTCTTTTGAACACCTAATAGGTATTCCATAGTTTGAGTATAATGAATGAAGCTCTCATGTTTCTTATATTTCACTCTTACATTGTGCAGTGAACATCCCTGAACATAATTCTTGCACACTGGTCTGAGTGTTTGTGCTGTAGCAGCTGGATCTCCTGCCGTTTACAGCACTGGATCATGAAGTTGGCATATCAAAATGTTTAACAGGCCGGGTGCAGTGGTTCACGCCTGTAATCCAAGCACTTTGGGAAGCTGAGGCGGGTAGATCACTTGAGGTCAGCAGTTGGAGACCAGCCTAGCCAACATGGTGAACCTTGTCTCTACTAAAAATACAAAAATTAGCCGGGCGTGGTGGTGCATGACTATAATCTCAACTACCCGGGAGTCTGATACACGAGAATCACTTGAACCTGTGTGGCGGAGGTTACAGTGAGCCCAGATCGCCCCACTGCACTCCAGCCTGGGAAACACAGTGAGACTGTCTCAAAAAAAAAAAAAAAATGTTTAACAGACACTGATCAACAGCCTCTGGAAACAGTTACAGCACCAACCACATTGCATAACTGCCTTGCAAACAGCAGTTTTGATTTGAGAAACAAATGAAATCTAAAAATATGCCATCCACACGTTTGGAATACAACTTTTAGGGGTTCAAAGGCCACATAGGACTCCTGGTAAGCCCACATAGGACTCCTGGTAAGACCCCCTTTACAGGAAGACCCTAACAGGTCAATGAAAAGCTGTGATTGTATCTTTTTTTTCAAAACGTCATCAGAACTCCTCAGGCAGGAGCTAGTGCAGTGTGGGCTGCCTGTGACTCACATGAGGAGCTTAGCCCAGGAGGACAGGAAACTGCCGTGCACAGCTCTGCGGTGAGGTGAACCTGACGATTTTCTTTTGTGTCCTGCAGGTGATTGCAAATAACTAACCAAAAGAAGTCCCCGGGACTGTTTCATACTTGGAAACGTCACAGAAGGAAATTAATATTATAATAAAGTGACAACTATGCAAATCACATCTTCATGAGAGATTTATTAGCAATCCGTCCTAACATCCAGGGCCCTAAAAACCATGAGTAGGCTGGGCACAGTGGCACAGCCCTGTAATCCCAGCACTTAGCACTTTTGGAGGCCAAGGCAGGCAGGAATTCAAGACAAGCCTGAGTAACATGGCATAACCCTGTCTCTACTAAAAATACAAAAAGCAAATGGGCGAGGTGGTATGCACCTGTAGTCCCAGCTACTCAGGAGGCTGAGGTGGGAAGATCGCTTGAGCCCTGGAGGTAGAGACTGCAGTGAGCCACGATCTCGTCATCGCACTCTAGCCTGGGCGACAGTGAGACCATGTCTCAAAAAAAAAAAGGAAAAGAATTTTGAATCTGTGTCTCCCTGCCCGACTGAGACCTCAAGGACCCAGCCCACTTTAGAACCTGACACATGACATTATTGTCAAACAACATATAAATGGAGCACTAAGCTGGATTTCTGTGCAGGCGCTGCCCCACCGGATCCCGGAGGTTCTGGGTGAAACCTCATGGCCAGGACCAAGGCTGGAGCCAGTGCTGCAGGCCTGGCCAATCAACACATTGCATCCCCTTCCCCCACCACAGCGATTGGCTCAGGGATGGGCATATGACCTGAGGCAGGTCCAATCAGAGAT